CTCACGCTCGTCGTTTGTATATAGGTTCAAGGACATAACTAGGTACTATCTACACTACTCTTATTCGTATATTAAATGCTATCTTTGTAACCCCTCAGATACGTATTTGTGTAAATACAGTTTAATTAGTTTATTCTTTTATCGTCGTGTGAACTAACTGCTACTTTTTCCTGTCGTACTGTATAAACTTTATGTTTCTTCGACAAAATTAAAGTTTGGCTAGCTTCTGTTGTTCTATTGTGGAATAAGCATTTAAAATAGTCTTCAAATGTAATTTTTCTAAATGCTGCCCTTGTAACACCTTTAGACTTTTTCCTAACTTCTACATCACTTTTCTCCTTATCATTACCATTATACAATTTTATAGCGTACATTTTCGATCGCAAAGCGATGAATTCAGAAAATATCTTACCACAAAGTTCATCTTTAACAAGACCTAAGATTTCTTCATTTTTTATTCAGTGGATAGTCTGATGTATCAAATTTATGTGTATTATTTTTTATATATTGATAAATATCGTCAACAAAGAACTGGTATATTAGCGAGTCTGGGACAGTATAAGGTAATCTGGCCCTCTCACAAAATTTGTTTTGAATATAATTATAATGAAACTCGTATAGTACCTATAGTTTTTGAAATGTCAAGTTAAATGTAATATTTAGCCGTTTCATTTCAATTAGTACCATATTTTAATCGAATATCGTACAACTATGGAAATTTATGAAGATTGGAAAAACTTTGGCGGTTGAACTGAAGAAGGTAACTTTGTTACCGAAAAGTGCTTCGGACAACTACAGTGTCGTGTTTTGGCGTTGGGGTTTTGAGCTATTCTGTTTGTTCTATATGGAAATTTGGTTGTGAAATATAATAATTTGCATCTTATCTTCCGGATTATTTCATTAGCAATTGAACATCCCTATATTTTCGTACGTTTTCCATTGTCTTACCAAATACAGCACTATTCATAAGTTTGTAGAAATTTTTTTCAAAATCTTTCTTATCGCCTGCCGTAAACTTGTATTCAAATCGACATATTTTTTTAACCAAGGTGATTGTTTAAATTTGAATATACGATGAACATTTTCAATTTCAATAACTAAATTTAATTGCCTCTTTTAAATTCCTATAATGAATAATACAGTTTTTTTTTCGTATAGTTTGGTCATTAATTTATGCATTTTTGAATTGGAAGCTGGTGGAATTAAATGTTCCGGAAGTGATGGTAAATCCCGATGTTTTTTATAAAGTTTATCTAGATAAATACAGTCAATTTCAAATATGTAACCATACTCACCGTCGTCGGGAATGTCATTAATTACAATAGAGTAGACATCATCAACCCATTCAAATTTACGTATTCCTCGTTCTAGGAACATTATCATATCAATATCAGTTAGTAGTTCTAATTCAACCCCTGTAAATTTTGGCATACTATCGAAAGCGAGCCCTGGCGCAGTGTAATAATGTAAACTATCCAATTTGTACGTGTTCCAACAAGTCAATCGAAAATTTTCAAAAATGTCAGCAAGAAGCAAAACATCTGTTTTTAGATATATTTCCGCGTATTGTTGTATAGTATTAATTTTGAATGTATCCCAAATTAAGCATGCATGTTCGTAGTCTTCGTGAGAAACGTGACAGTCGTTAATCGTGCTGAAAAAACATTCTTTAGGGGGTAATTTAGTAATTACGTAGTTTTCCCAACAATCCGATGTATTCATATGGAAAAATACCCTTACGTTGTACCAATTCAAATTCATCGTCATTTGGAAAATATTTCCCTGTTATTATTTTTTTTCTTTATCTAGGAATAATGATAATTTATCTAGACTATTAGCCATGAAACGGAAAGAATCTAGAAATCTGAAGTTAATCGTGGTATTTTGCACATATTTCGTAAAAGAAACATATTTTTCCTTGTTTATAGGTAATAGAGAAATGTTACACTTGAACTCTACACTTAGAGCTTTAATTAAAAAATGACTATCGTAGCCGGACAAATTATGAAAAATTACAGGTACTACGTGACTGTCTTTATAATTTAAATTATACCCTGCGTGCGCTGCACCACGGAAACTGCCGTCCAGGTGTGAATGATCTTAGATCTTTAGATCCTCATTTTAAAATTTTTTCGAAAAACATGGCAATTTGTTGTCGTTATAAATTCATATTATTGTTCAATAGTTAATGGTTTCATCAGGGGGACAATATTTGAGAAAATGTCTTTCAATTCGATAGCAATTTTCTCAAGTTCCTTAATAAACCACTTAATACAGTCTTCGCCGGTATACATTGTAAATCGGGAAAGTGAATCGTTGTAAGAACACTTTAAATAATATGCAATAGGTACTGAACGCTTCATGTTTGTGAACTTTTTGCGTTTTGCTTATATTATCAGTTACATTTTCATTATATTTAAATAGCATACTTTCTAAATCGGCATAAATTGCGAACGGTGTCAGTTCATAGTTTTTAAAATTTTTGAATTTCAAATACTTATTATTTTCACTTTGTAAAGTAACTTTTATCTCATTTAATTTTCTGCAATNGTATCTGCAACAAAGAGTTGACTTTCCGAATTAGGCCAATTAATGAAACCTTATTTTTTAAAAGCAATTATTTTATTAAGTAACTGTAAAAAGGTAAAAGTTGAAGCAGGCGACTTCTCTAATCTAGAGACTAATAAGAAGTAACAATTTTATTATTACATATAAGAAAGATGCAACATTAATCTTAAAAATGCATAATCAGTAAAATACGTTCTCACGGTATCATCTCGCGCTCGTCGGTTGTACATAGGTTCAAGGACATAACTTAAATAGTACACTATTTAGTTTTATTTTATTTTGCTGCATGATTGTAACATTCTTTTCTGTTCGACTAATTTCCAATGGCAGCGTGTCTCACACCTCTCTCTTTGTAGTGCGCCGTAAATGAAATTCCTTTAAGTATGAAATATTTTCTGTGACATAACGGTTCTTGTTTTAAAAGCTTTTTGTTCGTTCCAAGCATTCCTTTAATTTAATTAAATACCTAACACCTACTTCCTCTTACCTATGATTTCGTTTGTATGAACTCCTAATTCGATCTTCTTCCTTCTTTCGAAGAAACTTATAAACATCACATGAACTTAGAGTTTAATTCTAAACGAGTTTAATTGTTTTACGTAAACTGTACTCCAACTTCATTCAATTTCCCTTAGGAATATTCTATGATCTGAAACTAATTGTACCCGTCCCTTTTGCTTTAGGGGTTATAAAACCTTACTATGAACTACACATAGCTACGTAATAATAAAACTAAAAACATTTAAAAAAAAAACAAGTTTTGTCCCAGTTGGTTTTGATTTATCTGAATCGTTTAACGGGAAGAAATTATTGATTATAAATTTCGGTAGTTTCTTTCTGCAAGCGTATATAATATTGTTGTAGTTCTATTCTCGTCTTGATACTGCGTATTGTAGTTTGAATGTTGACTTTATCGCAAGAATAAGACATGGACGCTAAGGGATCTCCGGGGTCTCTAGCTGATCTTATAAAGTTCCGTAGCTAATGTGTTATTTTTAAGAATTCAAGATTATTGAACAAGGAATAGTGAAATTCTAAGACTGGTTGGATACGCACCTCCACTCTTTTCTATCCTAAGCTAATCTTCGCCTTTCTCTATAACTAGAACATCCCACATCTTTAACTATTTGCGAACAGTAATCTTATCTAGGCTTACCTCTACTCCTTTTAACTCCTGTTTCTGCCTCTAGTATGTTTTTGACTAGACCTTCATGCCTGAGAAGGTGTCATACCAACCTATCAACCTATTTACGTCTATTTCTTATTGACTTCCATGGAGTACTCTGTTCTTCTATTCTTTCTAATATCTCTTCATTTCTAACCTTCTTACCACGGTATCCTCATTATTCGCCTGTAACCACATTTCGAACTCTTTTAACCTTTTTTTTCCGCCGTGCCTACTGTCCATGTTTGGCACCCGTACCTGCTGTTTTTAGTGGGTAAGAATTCCACACTATCCACACTGGGTGCGGGGTGTCTTGTCAGGAATTTTCCTCTGCAAAGGATTCCCGTCGTAAAAAAACCTATGTTCTTATAAATTTAACGAAAAATATGAAAAATGTTTATCTAAACATTCCACAAAAAAAAATACAAAAAATTCGAAAATTAAAAGAAATTGTAAAAACATTTAGTAAGTCTATGTGAGTCCAATGAAAGCACCTTCTTCTATTGTGACCATGCAGACATTTTTATCGTAGTTGTAAATTCTTTGACGGATGCGTTTATTCATTTCAGTATTGGTTATTTATGACTAATAGTAGAATGAGTTGTAGATTAAATCTAGTTTATCCTTAGAGCATACAAGATCTGTAACTCTTCAAACAGACATGTTAAAGTATACTACCTATTTTACTCAATATATTTTGTGTTTTTTTAAAGTTCGACTTTTATTAATTTATTTTATTTTGTAATGAGAATTAGTCGAAATTAGAAGCAGTGGTATATGAAGTAAAAATTAAGGTTACAAAATCTAACACAGACCACATACAATTGAAATATAACCAAAGTGCGGAGTACCTAATCATAAAATTTACACTTTAACCTTAACAAAATAAAAATGAATTAACTAAATGTATTTGAGTTTGCTTAATAAATCGGTCGTTAAAAGCTACATTTTGTAGTTGTATTTTTTGTTATGAAACAGTACTTACTATTAAAATATATTATAATAAGTCAAAATTAAATAATTATGATAATTTTTGTTTTTTCCTTCGATGTGGTGACAACATCAGCTTTGTACAAGTTTTATGTAAGTATGCCTGTGTGAACCGTAGATAGAGATGCTTAGAAAAATCAAGTTGATCTTCAATGGCTTATGAATTTAAACGTTTTAGTTAATGGTAAGTTGAAAGATAATCACATTTTTACGGTAAAATAATTTATTACGAACATCTTATATTTTTTCAATATAATACATGAATTGCGCCACAAAAATTATAACAAACTTTGTATATTTTACACGATTTACATAATAAAATCACAAATAAATTACAAGTCAGCCTTAAAATCTAAGGATTATGTTTCATAGAGCAAAGGGTAGCAACGCCGTTCACAACTTCAAACGACTCACCGCAACTTAGGCAAATATCCCTTTTTGTGTTGTTTACATTCTCGGGCTTCCTCCATGATATTAAGCATATAATATCTTTATCATTTTTGACGCTGTTTCTGTTTTGATGATGGTTTGTTTCTGGAGCCTGAAAAAGTATTGTTGTTATCAATTAAACTAATCCATTTAGTAATTTAAATTATTGCAATAGTTGCAACAATTATTAGAAAGTTTTTAAATGTTAAAGGACAAATTTACTGCAATTGTACAGGCTTTACATATTATGTACATTATAGCCGAGGAAATAAAACACTGAACCTTCGAATTTTGTGCAGTAAGTCGGGTTGAGATGCGATTTATGAGACTGTCTACAAACTTTGTGAACATGAGGGATAAATTCATCTTCAAAAATGGATCGATGCATAAAAAAAATGCAGTCATAAATGCATTGTGAAGTTGTTATGAAAAAACTCGGTCATTAAAGATAGAAATAAGTCCAATTTTGCTCCTGTAAGGTTTGGAGGGTCGCTGAATTTGAATTCATTAAAAATCAATTGAAATAATTTACTTAGTGGTCAGAGGGTCGCTGAGTACGAATATGTAAATGGTAACGGCATACAATGAAGGTTTAGACGAAAACTGTTTAGAAAAGATTTTGTAAAACAATTATTTTTTAAATATATCCTTCAAATATTTATTAAAGGAATATTATATACACAAAAAACAGTGTATTCAAAAAATTTTTTTATTTAACGCATTATCTAGGGTAAAGTACTCTGAACGTAACCTAGTCCCCCAATCGGGTGTCCGGGCGGGAACTTGGGAGATGTCAATAATAAGTGCAATATTTCACGAGTAGAACTGTAGGGATATATATACAGGGGAAAAAGATTAGTATGCTTAGATTTGCAGATAATAAAGCAGTACTAGCATCTAGCAAGGAGGAGTTAGAGATAGCTTTAAATAAAATGGATGAGGTACTGACAATATAGTAACGTATGAAAATAAATAAAAGTAAAATAAAAATACTGGTATGCAAGAGAAAAAAATAAAGAAAGAACGAATATAAAGATAGGAGACAACAAATTAGAAGAAGTGGCAGATTTTAGGTATCTAGGAAGTCAGATTACTCAGGACGGAAGGAGTAGTAGGGATATAAAGCAGAGAATAGCACAGGGTCGAGTCGCCTCAATAAAAAGAAGTCACTTCTATGCTCGCGAACGGTTAATTTAGAAATTCGAAAAAGATTGTTAATGGTGTGTATTTGGAGCTCGTTGTTGTACGGGTGCGAAACATGGACAGTGGGCGCGGCGGAAAAGAAAAGATTTGAAGCGTTTGAAATGTAGTGTTACAGGCGAATGATGTGGATACCGTGGATAGAGAAGGTTAGAAATGAAGGGATATTGGAAAGAATAGGAGAACAGAGGATTCTATGGAAGTCAATAAAAAATAGGCGAGATAGGTTAGTAGGACACCTTCTTAGGCATGAAGGTAGAGTCAGAGATATATTAGAGGCAGAAACTGGAGTTAGGAGGGCTAGAGGTAGACTTAAATTGGATTACTGTTCGCAAATAGTTAAATGTGTGGGTTGTTCCAGCTTTAGGAAAATGCCAAGATTATCTCAGGATAGGTAATAGTGGAGGTGCGTGTCTAGCCAGTCTTATGATGATCATGATTATCTTTAGAAAAAACTTAATATTTATAAAATCATGGACCATAGGGCCCAAGGTACCTTGGAGATCGTTGCCGACTATATATTTGTGTTCAGGTAGGTAACTCTCAAAACCCCCGAGTAACTAATTTCAATTGATTTTTTATTTAAAACAACTCCTGGAGACGATGTGCATAATGGGAACCCTAGGTCTTAGGTACCTCAGAGGCCGTGGCTAACTGCATATTCATGTTCAGCGACTTTCAAAACCGTCGAGTAACAAAACTGGACTCTATCATTATTGACTTAGCTTTTTTTATAACAATTTTCTATTCCACTTATAAGACTGCATTTTTCTCATGCATTGAGGCATTTTGACTATGAATTAATCTCTTGCGTTAACAAAGTTTACAGACAGTCTCACGAATCGAATTCAGAAGACTCCATCTAGATCCGATTTACTTTCTAAATTCGAAGATTTAGCCTATGTTTGTATTTTATTTCCTTGACGAATAGTAAAGGTTACATTTTCTATGATATATCTCGAATGCGCCACAAGCATTCGCCATTTTAAGGTAATTCTTGATAAACGTTAAAATTTTTGTATGAAGGAGACTGAGTTAGGCTTTTCTGTGATTTAGGTTAGGTGTGCCTAATAAAACCACATCTAAAGTTCAGGACATGAAATTATGTGTTAATACGCGAAACTGTGTACAACTGATAACGAAAATTATGTTTGCCTAAAATGCCAAAATTGATTTTTAAAAATATTTATATGGATTTTTATCTTTAAAGCCGTCAGTGCGACGCATTTTAAGTTCCTTGTGTTATTTAAGAATTTCCATATAAGTGCTTTTAGAATGAGGTTTTATTGTGTTTATTGTAACATTAAAAATGTTTTAATGATTAATGGTGATACTTATTTACAATATTTGTTGCGCGACCTTATTAAGAGCATATTTCCTAATACTTTTCTTTAAGAATCAAAACTAAAAAAATGTAGCAAGCTTTGGAGGGTGTTAGCTAAATGCAATAGGCAATCGTATGGTGAATAAAGCAGTGTGGAACAAAAAAATCTATAAAAAAACAGAAAGTCATAATCCAAAGCCGATCGTGGATGGAAATAGGTAACGTACAGAGAAATTACGCTAACAACTAAGCAGATGGAGAATATAAACAGTGACGGTTGTGAAAAGACTAATAAATAACAGCTTACTAGTAATAATAATGTTTATACGCCATCATCATCATCATAAGGTCATCAGTCCTAAGACTGGTTGGACACGTACCTCCACTCTTTCCTATCCTGAGCTAAACTTCGCATTTCCCTAAAACTAGAACAGCCCACATCCTTAACTATTTGCGAACAGTAATC